GTGGTAATTTAGCAATTTTCAATCAATTGATACATTTTTGTCTTCATCTTTTTTTTATCCAGGTCAGCATTATAAACTGTAAGATTGTAGATGAATAGAACCCATTGTTTTTTCTAACATCAATGGCAAGCTCTGTACTAATAACAACTGACCACGATACTCCCAATGTTTTCCTGGAGTTCTAAGATTTATAGAGTAAAAAAAGAAGCAATGTCCAGGGTAAAGGCACGACTTCTTTAAAAAATCATTTACAACGAAAACATTCCGAAGAATATGATTTGTTTTTTTTGGCCTAGCGTGAACAAGCTGCTATCCCAGAGTTTAGATTTAGAGGTATCTATTGTTAATATGTTAAAAAATCCGAAAATCAAATGTCAGATACAAAAGCTAACTTGCTCACAGAGTTATACAGTATTGGCAGAAAAAAAATGTCTCAATATCACCTATTTTTAGCTAGCAATTCTGTTGCTTTTTTTGAAATACAATTTACCATTCTTAATTTCGAGTGTATAATTGTGTTTTATTGAAAAAATATTTTTAAAGTATCTTCATATATTTGCTTTATTGATCCACGTTTTGTGTTACCAGCAAGATCAATTAACGATTGCGTCAAATCGAATCATCTCGCAGAACTTAATACAACTATAAGTAATTAATACAAAAAAGTATTAAAAATATTTGTTGTAATTAGTTTCGTCATTTAAAAAGTTTTATAAACTGAAATATGAAGAATGTTAAACGTAATCATACCTGTTTTCGATCGATTTTTTAATGATTTTTTTCTATTGCAACACTAATGAAACAAAAAATACAAATTGACATTGATATGTCACAGACTGATTGTTTACATTCGCTTTGTTTACCTTCATTGAGAGTGTTGATTTATTGTGGATTTTCTTTCAACGATTGTTTATTCATTATGGACTCCGACCTATGTTTTTCCAATGACCCCTGCACATCTACGGACCCCGAATTTCGCTCAAACGATGACCCTGGCTTTTGTATTATGGACTCCGATCAAGGCATAAACGATGAACAACACTCACGTAATATGGACCCCGAAACTAACTCCATCGCTAACCTCGGCTTGAATATGGACATTGAACAAAACCAAAGCGTGTCTCATGATCGTCTGCACACAGAAGAAGTGACTTCTTACCAATCCGTATCTCTGAGATGCATAAACTGTGGAACTGATTTGATAGAGAGAAGGCGAAATAGTCTAGATCTTAATCAGGTTCAGTCTATTATAAAACAGTTGATAGCTCCTCGACGAGTAAGTGTCAATTCAATTAATTATTTAAATTACTCATTTTTTAATAGATATATTGTATTGTATATGCTATTCCTATAATGTAAAATGAGGTTTTATTGTTTTATATAATTATGATCCTTATATACTGTTGTATTATTATAAATGAAAAGATGTTTACTCCTAACACATTAGCTGACTTTGTTATCGAAAATAATTTAATTAGAAGGCAGGCAGATTTTCAACCTATAAATATAAACATGGACAGTTTCATATTTCCAAGAATAGAATATAATGATCTTATAAAAATTGCATGTGGAACATATCAACTAAAACAAGCTTGTTCGTATTATAGGCAGCACATAAGAGGTGATGGTTCCTATACTATAGAAATATGTAGAAATATAGCCAGCAACCTATTGGTTGACTACCGATACCTTTGGCCAACTGCAGATTATTGCGTGGAAAAATACAAAGCAGGCATGTAAGTCCAAAAATATATTTTATATATATTATGTCAAAATAATCACAATGGTAAGGAAGCTATAAAAGAATATTATTGTAATTGCATTGTTGGCCGAAGGACATTGGGTTGCTGCGCTCATATAATGACTATTTTATGGTTTTTAAGTTGGGCAAGGTATCAGGAACACATTTCACCAACTGTCCAATTTCTTGAACACATATTAATAACATATGATGTCTTAGAATAAAAATAAATCATAAAAAATGTTGTTTTATTTCCCTTTAACCTGTTTTTCCTCACATGACAAAAATCTCTTTTTAAACATTTTGATACAAAATTAAGTTCATATTCTCATTATTACTAGTTAGTGCTTGTAAACTAATTACAAAAAATAGGATAAAATGTCTGTTCATGTCAGGCAAAGTCCCATTACTAAGTGGACAATCTCTTATTAACTATAATCTTTGGTTGATTAAAGATAATAATAAAATTAAAATAAGAATAAATAATGTGCATAGGTTCAAAAATCCAGTTTCTGGTGTTTTTGCCTCTATTTACATTATTTACTTAAAACACTTAAAAAAATAAGTAAAATTAAAAGCAGAACATATATTCAAATATTTATTTTTTTCTTTTTATAATATGTAATCGCTTGGACTTTAACATTATCCTCATTATTCGGACAATTTGTAAACTTTCCTGTAAGCAGCCTGTTAACATTTGGTGCACCAACTATGAATTATTAAATGTATGATATAATTTAATAAAACTCCTTTCAGGTTTTTATGACTTTCTTAAGAAAGAAAAGAAAAATCATAATATAAATCGGCTTTTTGAATATTTTTTGTTTGTGGTTCTTCACCTAATTATGTTTGTATGACTGCACAAACATCATCAACCTCCAATGGATACTTAGAGAATTTTTTAGTGTAATCTGTAAATTAAATATAGTTATCATTAGCAGGAGGTGTTGTGCTTAACAACTGTATTTTACATGTGTTACAATTTTTACATACATTTTTAATACATTTATGTACTAAATAGCCAGCAACATAGCGTTTTGCTTCTATGCTGATTATGTTGCTGGGTTTTAAATTAACATTTTCTTGCAACAAATTTAGTAAAGAATCCACATTTATTTTTTCATTTAACGTATCTCTTACTCTTAATTGGGAATTAATAAGGCAACTTAAAGCCATATTTACCATTTTTATTTACTTCAAATCTCATTGAGTTTAATACATGTAATGTTTCATCCCACAGTTTGAAATGTGGTGAATATGTTTTCAATGCAATCCTATATAATTTAGCATCTTCCTGATAACTATGACCATTGAAGGAGTCAAAGAGTTTATCTGCAAGAAGCAGCAGGTCAGCTGTGGTGACACACTCTTTTGGCAAAATATTATGATCTGGAAATAAAAAATATATTAAAATTATTTTTAGACATAGGCCTTATCATTAGATAGATAAACTTCTATGTAAATTTCTAAATCTGTGGTTTAAATTTATATTGTATTTAAAATGCTTTATGCTGTTTTATAATTTAAGAATTAATATAACATTCATAGTTAATTTTAAGCTTAGTTATATGCCCGTAACTTACCTTTAGGAAATAATTGAGAGGAATTAGGAGAACTCCTTTGTAGCTGAACTTGATTCATATTTAAATCCAAGTGGTGATTACAAGATGCGTCATTGTCTTCTTTTTGTGTATCAACACATTTTTCAGATTCAACAGAATGTGATGAGTGTACAGTCTCAAATGTTGATGCTGCTAAATAAAATATTTTTTTAATACAAATAAATATTAAAAGAAAAATCTTAAAATTGAATGATAACATATTGTCTTAATTGTATCTTCGTTCCTGTTAGAGTTTCTGATTGAATGTAAATAGATTTGTAATTTTTACTGAATTAAACACTGCCATTCTTATATTACATAAAAAAACTATAAACAACTTTTTTGGTTTGTATTTATCCCGTGAAATATTTTATTTGTATAAAGTATTTTATTTGTATCTATATATATTTAATGTACTTAAGACGTACATACATACATATGTCGGTGCACGAATATCTGCTGTTATTTATATGTTATTAGTTACAGTTATAATAATCATCATTTTTCTAAGAGGGCACTCTCGTCACTGTTACACATAAATTAATAATAAAAAGTCAGCTGGTAATATATTCTGAGTAAACATACGACTTTTAATCACTATTCTCGTAAGAGTTAAATACTTTATCTTTTTAATTTTTTGTAAGTACCTACTTTTAACATTACAAACCTAGACCACTCGGAATTAACAAATTAAACCAATAATAATTAAACATGTAAAATTAATACTACAAAGTTAATTTCATTTAATTTTGGTATATATGTACTTATTTATTACAAAATATTTGGGTTTATAATAATTATTGTACCTGTGAAAAAAAGTTGTAAAAATTTTATACTGTTAACATTGCTCTTAATATAATGTAGGAGTTATTACTTTAATTTCTTATATTTTGTGAAATGTATTTAGAGTCAGAATCAATTTTAATTAAGGAATTAATTGTTGTTTTTTCATTTTTATTTGTTTTGGGGAAAAGCAACATAATAAAAAAAACGAATAAACCTACAAAATGAAAGTAAATTGAAATGACATAGGTATACCAAATGTGATTATATACTAATTTTCCTTATAAACCAAATGCCCTTATATCCCAATTTTCCTCATATACCAAATGTCCTATATACCAAATGTTCTTATATACAAATTTTCTTTATATACTAATTTTCATCATCATCACTCACCACTCAACTCAACTCAATTCCACCCCACCCAACCCCTTACCAATTTTGAATGGTTTTATTATTATTGAACATATATACCATTTTTCCTTAAATAAAAATTTTCCTTATATACCAAATGTCATCATCGTCATCCACCGACCATCGAAATCATAATTTGTGTAAAAACATAGGACACTTAATTAAGTAAAATCAGTTAAAAATATAAAATATTGAAAAAATGTTATTAAAAAAAAGGAAAAAATATGTCTTTCACTTAAAATAAAACCACCTACATACTTAAATTAAAAAAAAGAAGACATAAACATCAATAATTTTATTATGTTTATTAATAAAGTTTACAAAAGTGGTTAGAAAATATGTATAAAAAGATACACGATTATAAAAAATATATGTATTTTAATATCGGAAAAAGCAATAAACAAATTCGGAAGAACTCGCGTCTCCTGCACCGAGCCAAACAAATGATTATAAAATGTTGTCTACTTGTTGTGCATGTAGGAGGCGAGCAGCGCTCGGCCGCCGTCCTCCAGCAGGTAGGCGGTCCAGCGGCCGTCGTCCACGGAGACCAGCCTCGCGCGGCCGTCCTGGGCGAGCGTGACCCGCGCCCGGCCGCTGCGCACGGTCTCGTTGGCCTTCTTCACGTACTCGTGCGGCGGCTCCGTGGCGTGTTTCAGGCTGTGGTACACCGCGCTGGGCTCGCTGCCGAACCTCAGCTGCGCCCCCCTGAGCGCGTGTAGGAGCTCGTCGTCGCTCAGTCCGAGTCCGAGCCGCGTCTCCCCCACCATGCCGTTCTCTCTCACCATCTTCAGAGTCTCCCTGTATTTAAAGACGAGCCGCGCGCGGTCACCGAACACTCGTCTACACGCCTCTTGACCTGGAACGGGATTTTTATTCTATTTTAGAAAAAAATACAATAATATATTTCGTTGGTTTGTTGTTGGACGTTGTCTTTTCGGGAATTTTGTGTTTTAAAAGAATACGATGAATACTTATTGATAATAATTTAAGAGGACAAAATGTATAATGAATTAATTGAGACGAAGCAGGTTAGGATCTTCAGTCTCCGTACTATCGTTTGCGGTTGTTTAATCATGTAAGGCGTGGTCACCTGCCGCGCCCTCACTCGACCCGGAGTAAGGTCGGAGTTTCCATCTATTAGACTTGTTTCAGAAAAACCAAGACAATATTTTTTATATTTGTATTGTAGTAACACTCTCGATGTTACCACCAATGTTAAAATCTAAACTATCAAAAGGCATAATTAAAGAATCATTTATTAAAATATTATGTAACTATTGATACTCACGAGTCCACACGGAGAGTTTAGTATTTTTGGGAAGTACAATTTTCCCGTTCTTAATGTCCATTTTAATGGCCACACATTCCTCTTGGACCGTGTTCATCACGTACTCGCTGTAGGCGACCAGTTCACTCACGTTGGTTGGTTTCAGTTCAGCGACGAAGGTCAACATCTCGTTCATGTAAATGTCTGCTTTGTTCAAAGATATCGTGCTTGCATACGTATATAATCTATCTTTTTCGTGGCTTTGTAGATTTGATTTGACCAAATTTTGCAATGTCTTGTGACTCTCTAGAATCTTAGTGATCGAAGTGACGCTTTCGTTTCTCTGACATTCAAACCGCAACCTATATTTGACTATACACAGGGTTCTTACTTCACCGGTGATTTGGTCACTGGAGACTGTAGGTGACATGTTACCAATCAGATGAAGCATCGTTTTGCAGTCGTCATCGGGTATGGAGTAGAGTTTGTGGATACTGACGTCGAGGACGCTGTTGAGAGACACGACAGCGTTACCGCCGGCCACGACCCTCACGACGGGACAAGTCGTGAACAACCCGCGGCTCTGGAGGGTCAGCAGGATGGGCACCGCGCTGGACCACTGCGCGCTGGCGGCCACGTCCATCTGACTCAGGTCACCGAGGAAGCGGATCATGGGAGGCGTGAGTTGCGGCAGGTCTGTTATTTTAATAGGAGGAGCTCTTCCTAATATCAAATTTCCATCCTTGAGCATCGTGTCGGAGGCTATCGGTACTATCTGAGACGACCCGCCGGACCCCTGCCACAGGTTGATAATGTTTTCGATGGTTTCGCCAGGATTTATGTTGTAATGTTCGGATATTTTTCTTATTCCGCTTATTAATTTAATATCGTCCCGGAGATGGTTGCGGAAACTATCGAACGCTTGGATCTGGTCGTCGTTGAGACTGGACACTATATCGGCATACTTCATCCCGTCTATTAAAATTTGCGAATAGTCTTTAACGCTTATATTCTTTTCCATGGCCCCGATAAATTTTCTCAATAAGGCGGGGTCATCACCGAACCTACTGCGGACTTGGTTCATTTCAGAAGCCTGATCTTGGTTCAATTGTTTATTAATATGAGCGAAAGCATAGTTTTGAGACTCTTTAATTATTGTATTCGCCGATTTGTAACAGAACACCCCTTTCGACCAGAAGGCTACAGAGGCGCCGTACATCAGAACATCTGCAGCCGTTAAATCATCCCGATGTTGATACATGAAAATCGAAGTGTTCAAAATCGCTAACCCGCTAATGGCGACGTTCGCTCCGTTAGCGATGTCGGTGACTAACTTGAAAGCGTTCGATATCTCCCGGCCGCGCGCCGCCAGAGACGACAGCCTCATAGAGGCTCCCATCGCCCCGAAGCTGGTGAGGCTGGCGGCCACGCCCAGCCATAACATGCGCGACTCTGAGTTAGTGAAGGGGTTGACGCTCTCCCCGTGCGCGGCTCTCTCCGCTATCTGGTAGGTGGCGCGCGAGGTGCCCCAGCCGGCCGTCACCAGCGACGTGGCCACGAGGGGCGCGGCGAGTCCGCCCGACACGAACAGCAGCGCGGCGGAGGACGCGAGCCCCGCCACCGCCGCCACCGTGTCCACCCCGCGGGCGGCCTGGGCGTCCAGTCTGGAGCTCGGTGTGTCACTGAACACCACGTACGCCTGTTTGGTGTGGGAGTTCAAAGACAGCCGTAGGTTCGCAGGATAGGCCATCTCGCCGGGTGGCAACTTGTTGAAATTGTACCAGTTATCATAACTACCGTAGCAGCGTCCGACGTTATCGACGTAATAGTTCTGTGAGTCTTTGTAACGTTTGATTCTGAACAGTGGTAGTTCGTATAGTTTTCCATTGTAATAGAGTTCGATTGGAAGAACGGTAATAAAATTTTTGTCATCTCCTCCACAGCAGGACCTTATTTGTTTCGCCACGACATCGATCGCCTCACGAGATTTTCCTTCGTAAAAGACGAGTTCTCCTTTTGACGCTTGTTCTCTTTCGTACTTGGTCCAGTGGTCGGGGTCGCTGGTCGGCAGGCCCATAGCGATACCGATCGTGTTTAAGAAGTCGCTCCCCCCAATGAGCTGCGGGTCGTCTCCCTTACATTCACCACCTCTGTGTACATATTTAGTAATGTTGGCTCTAGCTTTGCTTTCCCACTCACCTGCGCTAATTTCCATTGTAAAAGAAAGAAATAGCTCTTATTATTCCCTAAATAATATATGTACAGTAATGTTATTCGACTCTCGAGTCAGTACCACCACCAATGACTCTGAGGTGCGCCAGACTTATCGTCTCCAACTAAATAGTCAGGCCGATGTCCCGTGTCTCTCCAAATTTTCAAACAGCGATCTAATTCATCGAGTTCTCCAAATTCTTCGAGGTCTTTCAATGTTCTATCAAAGTTCGTATCGATGTTAGTGAAGCCTCTCAGAAGCACTTCTATTCCAGATCGCGTTCTACAAATGACGCCGGCGGGCTGATTCAACTCTAAGTCAATTCTAATATCTGGGTAAACGCCGATGAAGGTCTGTAGCCAGTCTCTGTCCGCGGTCACTCCCGCTATGACGTCTCGTGTATCAGTCAAGTTCTTCAAGGTGTCGTACTGCCAGCGACAAGCGACTCCTAGACGGAACAACTCCTCGAACACCTTCTCTCCCGATGTGATCCAAGTCGTCACTTTATTTCCGTCCCCTTCCTTAGGGTTTTTATTAAAAGCCGTGAGACAGATACTTATTTTCTTTAACTGTTGTCTGATCATGTCAGATGCCATCACCTGAAAAAGTCTTTAATTCAATAATCTATTTAATAAACATATGTTATCATCACAAAGTCGTCGGGAATAGTACAAATAGGTACATAGAAAAATACTACAAACTGGAAATCAAAAAGTAAAAAATAATACGTATTTTTATTCAGATAATCAAAAATTTTTTTTTTTATTATTTAAGCTTATTGAAAAGTAAGACAACAGCTAGGTATAGGTATTATCAATTTATTTATTAAACTCGTTGTTATTATAAGGCACAGTCGTAGTTTCAGAAGTAAGTAGTATGTAACGTTTTTTTTGTTTTTTCTTGTGCACATCAATGATTACTATACATGAAGTTGTATTTAGTGGTAGGTATTTGATAACTGGTTTTCATTGAATATTAGATCATAAGACAGAGTTTAGGTACAGACTTCCTAATAACTGTCTTCGATGGTAAGTGGGCATATCGTTATAGTTTTGTAATACTAGGTACCTATAGGTAATTAGTTTGAATTTATTTTTGATATGTCTAAAAACAGCGTGTACTTAATAATTTAATAACCTTAAAAGGTTTATTCTTCGATTATTAAGCACTGATGTAAAATTATAAATTAATTTCTTAGTAACTCATTCAAAATATTTATAATTCTTTTGAGAGTAAAACGTTATAGTTTTTAGTTTCCTGTTTAAAGTCTTTTATTAAATTATAATTTATAGCTGCAGTGGTCTTAACAAGCCTGTATATCGAATGTGGACACGAAAAATGATACTAGGAGACGTCTCGAACATAACAAGAGTATGGAATCAAAACTATTGAAATGTGAAAAGCTTCTGCACCCATCTGGATGAAATTTTGGTTTGGAGATAATCTGAAGTCCATGTGACGGGTGGAGCCGCGTGGAGCGGCTTGTGTTAATAAACAATTTCCTCAATGTTCAAATGTTCCCTTCTATTGAGCTCGGATAACATTAAAATTTTCTGATGTTCTTAGCAAGACCACAAACATTCTTAGAGTAACTCCTTCAGAAGAAAAAAGGATCATCACAATCGATTTATGAAAGAGGAAGTTGTTCAGAACATGTAAAACTATATAAATATATGTGTAAAAAATAACTATATATGATTTGAGTAATTTCTTACTTTTTTTAATACAATAAAAAAAGTAAATACATATTTGTAGAAAATGTATTTAAATATAACATTGAAGTTTTACTTATTAATTATATTACCATATAGAAATCTATTTGTATTAATGTTGTACTCAGAGATACATTGTGCATATATGTAATGTACCGTGGGTCATGTTACACTGGACAATATAGACACATCACAAGCAGAGTGGTCATATTCATTCAGTCCATTACATATTAAATAAACTATTAACTAACCTGACATAGCAAAGACTAAAACACACACAACCTCACCACAAATGGCCTTTTAAATATGAATATTATAACACACAACCAACACACACTTGTAACATTTTCTCACAACATGTATTCCACTAAATCTATTTTGAGTGTTTGTATAAGTGACCTGGTGAGACTAACATCATGTTGCCTGCACTGAGATTAAATGAAGCACAAGATTCTACGAGAGCTAACTTATGGTTTCTTATTATATCATGCTTAAAATTTTCATGTTAACTAGTTTTTGTAAAATATCTCTTGTAAGAATTTTCAATGTAATGTGATTCATAAGTTAATTCTGTAAACTAAGGAAACATGCAGAGAACTTTATATGTGCTATAAGTAGCTATAACTTGAACTATTAATAAAGAATCAGAAACTTATAGACATTGGATTTAATAATTATTTTTTCTACTTTAATAACATTCAAATTTATTCAGTTTATTTCTCCACACAGAGTTAGCTTTCTCACCATCTATTAGTTCATCCACACAAATATTCAATGTTATTTAATTGTATTTTGTATGAAGTACATGAAAAATGGAGATTTAAATTTAAACTAAACTACACACTCATACCAAGAGACCCTAGTTGAGTTCAGACCTTGTGTGCATGAAACTAGTATAATTCTGTACTAATTGTGTTTTTAAAAATATTCATAGTTAAAATCTTACACATTATTTTCTTAGACATATATTAATATTTTATTTCCTAAACAGTAATGATGTGTATTATGTGATAGTTATATTTTTTCTCTCACCTCAATCCTACTTCATTTCCTGCACAACACATGTACTTCAATATGTAAGTGAATTTAAAAATAAAGTTTGTTAAATGGTCATACTCATCTATATATATAATACCTTATCTTATTTCAAAGTACATTTTCCAGTTAATAAAAGACAATAAAATGATAAGGAATATTGTCAAGTTTAGTTATCCACACTCTATCACCCCTTCAGATATGTTGGTGTACTTACATTATAAACTACTTATTAATATCCTCTTTATACTTTGAGTCACTGTAAAACCGAATCTAATAACAGTACTGTTTGTGTGTCCGTGTATACAAGGAATGAGTCAGATTAACAAATGTTACTGAAGGTTATTGTGTACGGAACACACACTACAATCCAGAACAGTCGTATGAACACATGTTTAGTTTATATATACTTTTATAAGGAAAACATGTTTTATTAAGATAACAGGACAGACACTTATTCATACTATAACCATAAAATGTAATACAATTCATTACATGTAAGCTCTGTAATTATAGATATAAATATGCAGATATATATATGGTACATACTGTTCTCGTTTAGCGGCTTCTCTCAAAACTCAATATAGAATGTTATATAAACTTAAAACAATAGCTTGAGGTTGTGATTTAAAATACTGTTTTTATAGCTTTATAAACCATTCCACAAACTTAGACTCCCTTCCAATTAGCAACATAAATTATAATCTAAATATTGGTTGGTTGTTTCAAATCTGGCCTTTATCCATTCAGACTTGCACAATATATTCTGTCAGTGTCGTGTAACCTGAAATCTAAATAGTAATAATAAATGATTGATGTGTTAAATGTTGACAGCACTTGTCAAACGTACCGACAACAGATTATTAAGACTCAAAAGTCACAGAATTTCAGAATGTGTTGCCGAAGTATGTGAGTTTGTATCATATAATATTACGATAAAATTATTTTATATTATAGAAATGCCAGTCATTTTACAAGATAAAAAAGGGTCAGCTACTGAAAAACTGTTATATGAGAAGTATTTAGTTACGCTACCGGGAAACGATGATCCGAAAGGATTTTACAATTTTTAATAAAATGTGAAAGAACAGATGTGTCTGAAATTACTTGAACAACACGTACAGTCCGCGTACTTATATTAAAACCAGTCAGGCTAAACAGCGTCGAAACACGGAAACTAACAGACCATCGACTAAACTGACAAGAGAGGAGGGATGCTGCGCAGATTAAGATATTCTCTCAAAACACTTTTGTAGCGACATTAAGTGTTATAATAAAAATAGGTAAAAAAACTTTTTAAGTTAAATGGTTTTACGCCGTCGCTGCTCAAGAGCACACCATGTGTTGTCACTTGTCAGCAGCTCACGAAATTCCTTACACTATTGTTATTACTTCGTGTACGTGCTGCTACAACGTAAAACATACATTGCAATGTTTAAGATAAATGTACTAAAAACCACAATATTACTGAAGTAATCTTCTTCTACCTGGCAATTTCCCAGCTATAGCCAGGGTCTGCCTTGCATGTTATGAATAGTTTTTGTCTATTTGTTTTTACGACCGGCCGCCTGCCTGACATCATAAATGTACTAAAAACCAAAAAATAATAAAATAGATATGTACAGTCGTGGGAATCTTAGATTTCAATTTAGCATAGTATGCTACAGACATTTGAGACCCATGTTGAATAAAACCTAAATTGTATTTTTCAATTTATTTTATATAGTAATTGTATTCTACTGGTTGAGACACTTTCAATTGATACCCATGTTGATGGGATCGATAAAACCTAAGTTATCCGCCATTTTGTAGAGGCCGCCATCTTGGATTTTAATTTTATATAGTACATTGTATTCTACTCGTTGAGCACTTTCATTGATACCAATACCCATATCGATAAAACCTACGTTATCCGCCATTTTGTAGCGGCCGTCATCTTGGATTTCAATTTTTTATAGTACATTGTATTCTACTGGTTGAGCACTTTCAATTGATACCCATATTGATGGGAATTGGTAAAACATAAATTATCCGCCATTTTGTAGCGGCGGCCATCTTAAATTTATAATGATAATGAATAAACATAATTGTATTGTCACCAAAATCCAAAGTGTATACAAAATTTCAGATTAATCGTGTGACAGGAAGAGGGTGAAATTTGAATTACTAAATTTGACCCAAGAAAAAAGAATAAATAAAAAAACAAACGGGGTGAGCTAAATAAAACCGTTTAATGATCCTAAACATAACACACATAATATGTGGATCGAACATGTAATCAGCCTATCAGAGCCCACTGCTGAGCAAAGGCCCTTTTCTCACATGAAGAAGGTTTGAGCATTTATCACCACGCTTGCTCAAGACGGGTTGGTGATTTCAAACTTATAATTGTGAAACTATAAGTCCAGGTTTCCTCACGATGTTTTCCTTCACCGTATGTCAGTGATGTCTAAATACTCTTAGAAAGTACATATGACTCCGAAAAATCACATTGTTACTTGCCAGGTTTGAACCCGCGCCCTCGGCAACGAGAGACGGGTCCTTTAACCACTAGGCCGCCAATGAATCGAACATGCAACTCCTCATTTAACTTTGGAATTAGGTACTTTTTTTTCATTTTACTTTACTGATGACTTTTATTTGATTTGATTTTCTATAAAGTAATACAAATTCAAAGATAGTCATCTGTTTTACTGGAAATATACTCGCTTTTTGGTGAATGGTTGAATATCTTTACTGTGTTGTCATATTTTTATGTTTATAAAACATTTTTCATTCAAATAATACTTGTGATTAATTTTTAGTTTCTTTTTTTGGTTATTATTATTTTCTATACTATATAGAAATATAACTTCTAAAGCGTGTACATGAGTACACACACTCTTTTTTATTGTGTAATTAAATATAAATTAAGACAATAATTAATATTTCTCGTCTTTAATTCATGACGGTCGATACAGAGTTAAAACAACTTAAGAGACGTGTCTGTCAAGCTCAGACAAGTTACTTCAACAATTATTTTAAGATATTAACGAAGGTACATTTGGTTAAAAGAAAATTAAGCTCAAAACACACGCAGACGGAGGTTCAGATTCACATAGAGGCTTTCGATTAATAATATATGTGTACCTGACTGAAATAACTTTATGAAACTCAACACTATTTGTTAAGTATTTTAATAAATACTTTAATTAAAATAAGTTCAAATTTTGCTTTGCAATTAAAAGTTTGTTATTGTTTATAGAAATGTCATTCATATATATAAATGACATTTCTATAAACAGTATAGAATTTAATAATTATATATTATAGTTCACTATGGGTTGGACCTCGAGGCGAGTGTTCTCCTCCAGTTGTTGAGGATGTCGTCCCGGTCGAGCGCCCCGCAGGAGGTGGTCAGTGCAGCGAGGAGTCCGCAGCTGGACACACTGACCTCAGTGAGGCGCGCCCCCCCGCCCGCCGCCCCGCGACCCCTGACCGAGGTGTCGGTGTGAGTGTCCTCGCACACCCGCGGCCACGACACCAGCGGCGGCCACCAGCAGCGCTCCTCCCTCACCAGCACGCGGTGCTCGCGCGGAGCCTGCGTGTGGACCAGCTGCAGGCGAGCCTCACACCGCGCGCCACACTCGTACGACACCGTGTACTTCCACCACGTCAGGTTGCTCTGCTCCTCTATCACGCGCCACGGACCGCTGCTGGAAGGTGGACCGTTGGAACGACGCATTGACGAACATGATTACAGGAGAGCATCACACGCGATACTCACATGTGCGTGTACACGCTCGGGTAGTTGGTGAAGTCTGCGAGGAAGTGCGCGAGTGTGGCGGGCTCATGGCGAGGGAAGTCCGCCTCCAGGCGAGACGTGAAGGAGGGTCGAGTGAGAAGTAGACCCGCCGCTGACAGGAGCAGAGACACGCGGACCGCAGCCCGCCACCACCAGCGACCGACTCTGGGGGACATGCTGATAGAAGAAAACAAATAAATAACTTGTTGCGTGACGACGAAACACCTCCGATCAGATTAAAAATAAATGTTTGTAATGAAACAACGGAAGCGTCGCTGGAACCTCAGGTAATAGTGAATAATAAAACTAGCGTCCTAGTCAGAAAACAAGTGACCTAATTATAATGATGTTTAAGAAACACACAGGGATAAAAACACGTCAGCAATGTGTTAAAGACAAACTACACAATAATATTACTACAGTAAGTCAAATTAATTATTTAATAGTATTGAATTAAAATATGTACTACATCAATTTCAAATTTTGGAAGATTTTATTGAAAAAATAAAACAGATCATAAAGAATACGAACCTTGATGAGCGAAACAGAGAATATCCTGAGACTCGACAGTAAATGCAGATGTCTGTTAATACATTGAACATCAAACTATAAATAAATATAATAAATAAACATCAAACTATAGGTACATGTCGGTCGGTATCAGTGTGGGAGACGCGATAACCGAGTCCATCGGCTGTTCCTTCCTGGCCGCTCGGACGCACGCAGGCCTCGTGTTACTGTTTCTATATTTAGACAAATAACATGTGTTCAAGCTCGGGAACTAAACACACATCCCGCTCTGAACGCTCCACTCTCCTATATGGACGAAATGTTGTCAGCGACGGCAGATATTTTGTTGGTTTTCTTCTCTTAAAGATTGTAATTTCAGAGTGAATTTTTTATACTTCTTGTTTGAAACGATGTTCCATTTATTTAACAAGATGTGTGTATATAAGTATCGAAGTCTTCTCTTTTAATTCAATTGCGGCCAGAGTACGCTAGAACCGGTTGTTAATTTACACATGTATTAGTTTTGACTGTAACAGATTAAGATCCATACGGAACATTTTGTTTGGTTCTTCGCGACCTCACAAGCCTGTAGCAGAGTGTCACTGACCGACGTGTTTTGTTTTAAAACATTTTGGAATTTATTACTTAGTGTTATACCTACTCATAATAATCTATATATGTCAAATGCATTTACTGTTTTTCTTTGACCTGATTGCTATATGTATAAAATAGGAATGTAGTTGTTTTTGAACTGTAACAAATAAAATGTCAGTTTTTTTCAATTTATCGCTTACGATATGCGTATTATTTTATTGTAGTCTCAAATCCCATACTTGTTGATGACGAGTGCAACATTTCCCCTTTTAATAAATTACGTGTGTAACACGAAAAATGTTAAGAACTCGCCACTTAGAAACATTCCGAATGAAAACTTTTTGAATTTCAATTTTAGAACTGTTTGGTAATCTAATGAGAGCGCGGGAATTGCAACGTTGACGCGGGCTTTTTGAAAATTTTAATTATTTTAAATATGCAGTTTTATACTATAATTTGCAAACTTTTGTTTAGTTTATTGTAAATAAGTAAAAATTTGTCTGCATATAAGTGTTTATGTGGAGAGATGGTGAAAAAACGTAAAAACAAGGATTCGGGTGAGTCCTTGTCTTTCAGCACAAGCAGCGATTGCGATTGCGAGGATTCGCCAGTATTGCAGGATGCAAATGCCTTCGCTCCCTTTAGGGTCACTGATTATTGTCGGCGATACCCTGAAGATGCGGAAGCCAAGTCTGAATTCATAGTATTTGTCGAAAGTACTAATGATGTCCCACTCGGTAATAGGGACATGATGTCGCTTAGTACAAGTTTTATACGCTCTGTGAAAGGTATACAATATTAAAAATATATATATATATATTTATAAAAGGTCGGTGCTGTTTTCCAACGTGCGAATTTGGCAAATGCCTTTTTAGAAAATACTACATATCTAAAGGAACAACAACTTAAAGCTTCAATACCAGCAGGGGCCACCGAACTATCGGGAGTTATCTCTTCGGTTCCCACTCATCTATCCAATCACAAAATATATAAAGCAATATCAACAACAAAAAAAGTCATTTCTGTCCGACGCATAATGCGTAAAGTAAAAGGAGAAAATAACACCTTCGCACTGCAACCTACTCAGAGCGTAGTAATAACTTTTGCGTCTGCTACGTCACCCCCGGACTATGTTCACATTAAGATGTGGCGCCTGCCTGTCTCCACATATGTCCCACCTATAAAACAGTATTTTAAATGTTTACGCTATGATCATCTGGCTAAGTTTTGTAAAAATTCACCGCGATGCTCCATATGCACAGAGGGGCATTCTTTCAAAGAATGCAAGGTTAACATTGAAAAAGCTAAGTGCATTAATTGTAATGGCAATCACATTGCCATCTCTAGCCAGTGCCCTATAAGGCAAAAGAAAATCGCAAACAGTAAACACAAGTCATATGCTGACAGGTTAAAAGATTAATTAAATTTTTCCTCCCTTAATATAAAATTAAAAACCCAAGAAGTAATCCAAGCAATACTATCAAATTCTGAAGCAATGATAACAGAATCTATAGTAAAAGTAACTTTAAAAAAAACTTATAAACTGGTTCACAATTTATTAGTTCAGCTATTAAAGAAACCATCCAACAAAAATAGCAAATCGTCACATCAACCACCAAACTCAGTGGAAAAATATAACAGTGTGTAGCTCTTATTTCAGAAACTTTCACAGGATTTATTTTTTACTTGATTACTATCAGTAGCTTCATTTTGATAAGACGCCCAACAAGAAAATTTTTGAACCAGAGGTAGCAATGATAAATATGTCGATTTGATGACTGAATTGTTTTTATTAAATCTTAAAATAGCAAATCGTCACATGTATTGATTCACCAACCAGCCTTAGTTAATATATATATAATCTGTCCTACAAATTTCGTGGTAATCCGGTTCCTACGCTTGTACAGATCATTGATGTAAAAAATAATTACTATCAAGGAACGCATCTCAACAAGTCGATAGTGGTAGCTAACGGAGGTAGTACGATTTGAGATTCTCAAATATTAATTACTAACTGGATTGTTTTTTCATTAAATCTTAAGATAATTATCTAAATTATTTGAAAAAATATTTTTGTCCTACAAAATCTATGGTTTGATCAAAAAGTCCTCCCCCTCCAACATGTATCGATAAGGAGATCACCAAAAATGATTACTAACCAGCTGATTTTTTTTCTATTACTTAGTTAATATTATATAATTTAACAAAATGTTATCCCGGTCCTACGGTCAAAAGTTTTCAAGCGTGCGAAAAAAAATGTTATTACTGAACGTCTAATTTTAAACTAATTTTTAAACTAATTTTATAAGTTAAAAAATTACTGAACGTCAACTGAAATTAAACAAAACAATAACAAAGAAACCTTTGTGCCGCTTGTGTTTCTGTATTTTTCTACAACAGCTGAGTACGTGACGCGTGCGCAGAGCATTTTTACTCCGTCGTAGTAGGTATCCCACGTTTGTGTCGAGTATAAGCGTGTTAGTAAGCATTTTTCAGTTAATTTTTCATAATTATGGAGTGTTTCTTGTGTAATTTGCTTTGTGAAAATCCTACTTTCCGAGAGAAAAGAGAAGAAGTGAAGAAATTTAATGCAGACATTTGGCTTTCCTGTAAAACTTTTTATCTGCTCGAAAACATCATCAACATAAATATGGAGATATTACCTGAAAATTGGAATGACGAAATCATAGGTTATCATTTACAAAGAATTTCAGGTAAGTCGGTCGAATATTTTTTTACTTTATTTTTAAAATTATTGAAAAATAATTTATTAACTTAAAATTTTCATGTAATTATATTATGTAAAATCGAACATTAGCCTTGAAACATTATTGTTACATTCTTTAAATAATAATTTTAGAAAGTATATTTTATTTTACACTTTTGATTACTAAAATTTGGAGTATAATATAAATATATTCAATGCAATAATAAAACTTAGCCACGTGTTTATCGTTTACTCATTCAAGCCTCGGAGAATTCGAGTACGTTCGGAAATGCTCGCTCATTTACATTTGTTCTTGTATAACTATTTTACCAAATATTAATTTAATATGGGATCATTTTTTCAATCGATAATGTTAAGTGATATTTATGTAGACTGTGTGTACTGGCATGTTTCTCAAATAAATTATTTTTTTTTTTTTTTTAAATAATTTCTCATATACACAGCACTGAGCCAGCTTCAACATCATCTGCGTCTCAATCTACTGCAATCATTGATTCCTCGATTTCTTTAACGTCTGCTCCAAATGCAGAACCGGACCCATTGCCATGCACATCACGGTTAGTTAATTTAAAAAAAAAAAACATTATTTGTTAGTAATTGTTCATTTTTTAAAACAAGTAAATCTGAATCGACTGTTTTTTGAAACGATTCCATTACAATTATTTTTCAATTATTGTTTCTGTAAAAATACAAATCTCAAAAAATCTTCTTGACATTATTTATTTATTTTCAATTATAATTTTTTACAGAAATATTGACCAAAATTCGACATTAGTAAATGATGAAACCAGTAATATCGAAGACTCGGAAAATACTGTTGAGGAGGACAATACAGATTGTGAAGTAGATGTACAAAGTTTTCGAGATGATGAGTCAGGAAAAAAAATGCTTTTTTTGTGAAAAAGTCAATATAAAACGTAAAGGGCGACAAATGTACTGTCGTAAAATTAAAAACAAAATGCCCTTTCTGGAAAAAATTAAAAATTATTCTACAGAACTGGGTGATATAGAGATGTTACTAAAAATTCAAGAAGAAACTAACTCTGTTAACGATGCTTTTTTGGCGTATCACAATATATGTAGTGTGAATTATTTTGCAAAATACCAAAGGAAAACGAATCCACCTCCAAGTAATGATTGGGCTACGAAACGAGAAGGCCATAAAATTGCCAGAGAACGATTGATTAATTATATTCAGCAAGAAGTTATTACAAATCGACGAGTGATGTCATTAGCTCACTTGAAATATTGTTATGCTGAATTTGTGAAAGAAATGTATGAACACGCAAATTTAGAAGCTACCACATTCAGCAATAAAGCTCTTAAGGATTATATACAAACTCA